TTGGAAAAAAAAATCAGTATATCCAGTTGACTATATATTGCTGGTAGCAGATTTTTAAGTATTATTTCTACCTTTTGCATATTAATTGCAAAGTAAGGGCTAGATCCTCAGTTGAGAAATTAGTATGGCCCCATTCTAGCTATCACATTATCATTCTTGCATCACGTCAGGTTTCCCCAAGACACTGTAATCCATGTTATTTAATTGGGCCTGAATACTCAGTCCAGTTCATATTTTAAGAACTATCAACTCTTATTAGAATGCCCATAAGCTGCATTCTGTAGCACCTTCCACCTGGAGACAAATGCAAGTGGATTAAACCTCACCCACGATGAGGTAGGGAAGCAGGATTTTCCCCATCTCACTGGGATACAGTTTTAGCAGCAGAGCCAGGTGGATCCCAGAATTCCCAACTCCCATTCCTATGATCTACCCACCACAAAACACTCACTTCCCTTAGAATCAGGGGAGGTTGTTTGTAACTGAACCAATCATTTAATCTCAAAAGCCTAGTGACAGAGGAGACTGCAATCTAACTTCAATATGCCAGAGCTCAGGGAACATCATGCAGACGGATGGTATGCAAGGAAGCTTCTGTGACTGTTTTAGTGGCCACGTTTTATGCAAAATGAAGCCTTCAGCCTCTAATGCTGCAACCTTCACTTTGTTTTCCCCCATTTGAGGTGGGATTCTGGCCTTCATGATTCACTGAATTGTAAGACTATTACACAGCCTGGGATTAAGGGACAGTCGACCATGGGCAGATTAGGTCAATGGCTTCAAGTGGCTCAGCTAAATCAGTTTTAAAACAGGATCAGAGTAGCAACCTAGATGACTTGGCCTTGTAACTACGTCAGGCTACCTTTACCGCTTCAGGCCAGGGCTATGCAATGGATCCAAGCTAGCGACTTGGCTTTGTAACTACGTCAGGCTACCTTCACCTCTTCAGGCCAGGGCTATGCAATGGATCCAAGCTAGGTTTGGTATAGCTGAACTGGTTAAACAATTTCTCCAGGACAGGCCACTTCTTTGGGGTAAGCCACAGGTCAGAAAACACTGGCTTTTATTGGTAAGGTCCCAAGCCAAAGCCTTGGCTACTACAATCCCAGCCATGTTTATTATTATTTATAAACTTAGGGCCAATGTTTCTGAAAATAGCCTGATTTTTTTATGCCTACCTTAAAACATCCCAAGCCAAATTTCCAGAGGCACTGAACAGAATTCAGGGTGCTCGGCTCTTCTGGAGAAAAAAAATAAGCCACAAAGTGCCTTAGCATGGGCATGCAAGGACTGAACAGCCATTCTCAGAGGCCACTTCTCAACATTTTAGTCTTCCTGTTTCTGAGATGGAAAGAATTAAACTGAACTAAAGAGACTCAGAGTGCAGCTCTCAAAAATCCTCCAGGTGCGTATCATACCAGGTACTTCGTACAAAAGTATTAGGCTGGACTCAATGCAGTATAACACACCACTATCAGGGGCTTAAAAACACCCTTGGAATCGAAAAAGGGCTTGTTCTGGGAGTCCATTTTTAGGTCTATTGCAGACACTTATTTCTCTAGTAACCTGTAATCTCTTTAGGAGCAACCAGCCTCACCACACAGGTGAGCCCCTGAGCCAGCCTGTGGTACAACTCTAAATTAAATTCCAAATGGGAACAGTGGTAGCAAACAGGATCACCAGGAAATAAAGCCAAGGGATCATGGGAAATAGAGATTGCTTTCCCAAGCAGTAAAACTCCCACATATCTACATTCCAGGTCACTACTGCTGGAGCGATAGGAGAGGATCACCAGGGAAACAGGCAAGTCCTTTTAACATATAGCATTAAATGCATTTTAAAAGAGTCTCCCCTCCCCTGTACTAGTCTCAGACCCTGCCCCAGGCCTTTCACTCCCCAGTGAGCAGAACACACAGCCGAGAGCTGTAGCACATGCACAGGTACAACGATGGAGCTGGGCACATGCTTGGCTGGGTTTGTGAAGCCACTGAGAAGGGGATTTGGGTACAAACCCAACATTCCCCACTTTCAGCAGATTTGGGCATGTTCTGAAAACCCTGTGAGACATGGGCCTGCAAGCTCCATGCCCCACTGCTAGGTCATTGGGTAGCCCTCAATCTTGCCCTGGAATCAAGACATGATACTCCCCTCAAATCCTCTGCACCCCGATCCTGGCTCTCCTCCTTCAGGATAAGCTTTGCAGGAACGTGAGCTACATTCTTGCCTAATACAGGCCCAGCTCCTAACAGGTGTGGATTCTTCACTTGGCCTTGGCAAGCTGACCAGAAGGTCTGAGCTAGTCACTGAGCACCTCACTTCCCCAATGGCCCTAGCAATACCACCTGCAGGGAAGGCCTGACCCTTTTGGAAAATGCTAAACATATAGGAGGAGGGGTAGGGTGTACGGCACTAACAGAGAGTTAAACTTCTGCTGAGTGGAAACTTTTACAGCTTGGAACCACACTTCCACACAAGGATATTAGCCATTGGTGCCAACAGCAGGTGTACACCAGATCTAACCCACCCCCCCCCCACACCCAGCCAACCCACCCGAAACAAAGGCCCA